CGCCTTTCGAGCATCGGTTGTTTACAGCAATGACTCCGGTCCCATTTCCCTATCATATCTGGTTTTAAATTTATGAATAGTATTTGCTTCCACAACCTGTTCCTTAAGTGCATTCCATTTTCCCACTACTCTCACGCTAAAAGAAAACTTCCTAACATCCCTGTGACTCATCTGAGTTTCTAGCTTCCACCCATGTCCCCTCGTTCTGTTGCTATTCCGTGTGAGCACTTCGTCTATGTCCACTCTGTTAATTCCCCTGAGTATTTTATACGTTTCTCTCATGTCCTCTCTATCCCTTCTTCTTTCTAGTGTCGTAAGGCACAGTTCCATCAGGCGCTCCTCATACCCCATCTCTCGTTGCTCTGGGACGAGTCTCGTTGCAAACCTCTGAACCTTTTCCAGTTCCTTTCTATGCTTCTTCAGATGGGGACTCCATGATGAGGCGGCATTTTCTAAGACTGGCCTTACGTAGGCAGTGTAAAGCACCCTAAATGCCCCCTTACTTAGGTTTTTGAATGATGTTCTAACTTTTACCAGTTTAGAGTACGCTGCTGTCGTTTTTCTATTTATATGTGCCTGAGGAGATAGATTAGGTGTTACGTCCATGCCCAGGTCTCTTTCTCGCGTCGTCACAGGTAGCCTGTTCCCCTTCATTGTGTACTGTCCCTTTGGTCTCCTGTCTCCTAGTCCTATTTCCATAACTTTACATTTGCTCGTGTTGATTTCCAGTAGCCATTTCTCTGACCATCTCTGCAACCTGTTCAGGTCCTCTTGGAGGATCCTGCAATCCTCATCTGTCACAACTCTTCTCATCAACTTTGCGTCATCCGCAAACATCGACATGTAGGACTCTACGCCTGTAAACATGTCGTTAACATATACAAGAAATAGAATTGGTCCCAGCACCGATCCTTGTGGTACTCCACTTGTTACTGTTCGCCAGTCCGACTTCTCGCCCCTTACCGTAACTCTTTGGCTCCTTCCTGTTAGGTAGTTCCTTATCCATGCTAGGACCTTTCCCCCCCCCCCCCCCCGCCTGCCTCTCGAGCTTGAACAGCAGTCTCATGTGCGGTACTGTATCAAAGGCTTTTTGGCAGTCCAGAAATATGCAGTCTGCCCAACCATCTCTGTCCTGTCTTATCCTCGTTATTTTATCATAGAATTCCAGAAGGTTTGTTAGGCACGATTTCCCTGTCCAGAACCCATGTTGATGTTTGTTCACAAACCTAATGTTCTCCAGGTGTGCAACCAGTCGTAGCCTAATTATTCTTTCCAGTATTTTACAGGGGGATGCTTGTCAGTGATACAGGTCTATAGTTAAGTGCCTCCTCCCTATCGCCTTTCTTGAAGATCGGCACGACATTTGCCTTCTTCCATCAACTGGTCAATTCTGCCGACATAAGTGACTCATTAAAGATCATTGCTAGAGGCACGCTGAGGGCCTACGCTGCTTCTTTTAGTATCCAGGGTGATACTTTGTCTGGTCCAACTGCTTTAGTTGCATCTAGAGTTGTCAACTGTTTCATTACCTCCCCTGCTTTCACCTCTATATCTGATAGTCTTTCATCTAGGGTAAACCCTTCCAACAATGGGAGCTGCTCAGGCTCGGTAGTGAACACTCCATGGAAACTGGCATTCAGTGCCTCGCAGATTTCCTTGTCACTTTCAGTATATGCCCCCCCTTGTTATCCTTAGTCTTGTCACTTGGTCGTTCACCGACATTTTTCTTCTTATATGGATGTGTAGTAACTTAGGTTGTTTTTTCGCTTTGATTGCAATATCGTTCTCATAGTCCCTTTCCGATGTTAATCTTATGGTAATGTAATCGTTCCTAGCTCTGTTGCATCTGATCCTGTTGTCCTCTGTCCTTTGTCTTCGGTACTTCCTCCACTCCCGCCTGCTGGCCATTTTTGCTTCCTGACACTGTCTATTAAACCATGGGTTATTATATCCCCTCTTATTTTTTCCTTTTACTGTTGGTATAAATCTCTCTTCGGCCTCCTGGCATTTCTGTATGACTAGGTCCATCATATCTTGGACTGTTTTTTCCTTTAATTTCTTCCTCCCACTGCACTTCACCCAGATAGTCCCTTATCCTCTTATAGTCCTCCTTTCCTGTAGTCAACTCTCCTTTCCCTGATCTCTTGTCCCATGGTCATAAGTTTGAATTCCATCATGTAGTCAACGACTAGGATACAGCGGTCACTGGCCCCTAGAGGTATTTCATGCTCCAAATTCTCGATATCTTCTACGTTCTGGGTGAAAATCAGGTTTAATAGGCTCGGTGCATCTCCTCCTCTTTCCCTTGTGTCTTTCTTCACATGTTGTGTTAGGAAATTCCAGTCTATAACATCTACTAACTTTGCTCCCCACGTTACGTCCCCTCCATGGGGATTCCTTGATTCCCAATTTATCTCTCCATGATTTAGTTCCCCCCATGATCAGCAGCTTCGCTCTCATTCTGTGGGCTAGTGTTGCTGCCTTCTGCAGTTCATCTATGCATGCCTTGTTATTGTCATCATACTCCTGCCTGGGTCTTCTACTGTTTGGTGGGGGATTGTAGATTACCAAGATCACAATCTTCCTCCCGTCAGAGTTGCATGTATGAATCTTGTGCACTCATTGGTAACCCGATTTCCCAGGTCTTCAAACTTCCATTTCCGCTTTATTAGGAGTGCCACTCCCCCTCCCTGTGTGTGTGTGTGTGTGTGTGTGTGTGTGTGTGTGTGTGTGTGTGTGTTTCCTGTCTGTCCCTTTTCTTGTTTATTGTGACCACTTTAACTTTCCAACTCTGTGTTAATTCTCCTCTTTTATGACCTATTTATGCACCATGGAGAGTGGCAAGCAGAGTGCTTCTGTCCCTTCTTGTAGTATCTGTAGTGAGAGATAGAGAGAACTCAGGAGAAAGCGCCAAGTCGATGCGACTATGTAGCACTGAGAAGGGGTCAGGATAAAGATTTGGGATGGGACGGGCGAAAGGAATGGTGCCCTACCACTTGGACGGTCTGGGATTGACCACCGACCAGCATGAAGCGAGACCGTCGCTCTACCGTCTAGCACAAATAGACTGTCAGGACCATCAGCCTCTGTCGCGTCCATACCAGATGCCTTTGTTACGTATTTCTACTTATTCTATTGTGACGTCTTCCTTCAATCTCTTGTTGACTTCCTCACGCACCTCGTTGTCATTCTTAGTGAGCTTGTTCTTTCACTGTTATTTTCTGCCTGATGTCGCTGTGAAACAGTTTGGGCTGGGTCTTTACTTATTTCTTATGTCATTTTAATCTATCTCTCTGCTTCTCTTCTCACACCGAAGTACTCATTCTTGGCCCTCTAATGTCTTTCTCTGTTCTTTATTGTTCTGTCATTCCTATAGTTTCTCCTCGCCCTTGTACCTAGTTGCTTTGCTTCTTTACATTCCTTTACATAACCCATGTGTGTTGCTCCTGTGTATCTTATGTGTTTCATTTGGACCGAGACTATCTTGACTAGTGTTAACACTTGTGGGCGATTTAATCCATCATGTCTTGTGCAGCCATGTCTCTAAGTTCTATTCTCATGGTAACTGTACTAGGACTTTTCTCACTTCCTCATAATTCCCCCCTCAGTATGCCAGATATCTGATATCTCTTTTGGGGTCTTTTTCTTGGGTAAATTATACCAACAGTAAGTTATACCTACAGTTAAGTTATACCTATGGGTAAGTTATCCTTTCTTCCACCAGATTCTCAAATGTCAATACATTGTACTCACTCATTACCGTGGTCGCTAACTAATTTATTTCCTTTATCTCGTTCTCGTTCAGTGAAGGTATCATGAGTTGGGTGGCAACCACCGGCCGGGTCGGACGCTTCTGAGGTCTCTCCGCTTCTGGCTAGTGTTTACGTTGGACTGGGAAAGGAGAGTTGACTACAGAAAAGGGGACTATAAGAGGAATAAGGGACTATCTGGGTGAAGTGCAGCGGGAGGAAGAAATTAGAGGAAAAACAGTACAAGAAATGATGGACTGGTTGCCCTGCCTGATGGTGGTTTGCTACTGACAGGGTGATTTGCCATAGGGACTTCTCGGCCTCCAGTGAAGAGGACATTGTCGGCTGGTCTAGCTTTTATGGTACGGTGGACCATCTGTTGGTTGGTGTCGCCCTGGTGGACGTGCTTCGCGTGCAACTGTCGGACTTAGTGGGTTGCTTCAGGGCAACCGTGCTGTGGTCAAGTTCCACCATCAGGCTGCCTTTCAGGCGTTTCTAGGGCGGTGTGAGGGAGCATGTTTACCCTCTCCCTGATACCACCGGTTCTGTTAAAGTGGTGAATCTTAGTGTCGCCTTGACGTGTGTGGTGGTGCATGGTCCCCCTTTCGAATTTCAGGACGATGTTTTAACCTCCTGTTTTGAAAAATTTGGGACTGTGTTAAGTGTTCATTAGAACAAGGTCCTTGCAGGGCACTGTGCTGGTATGCTAGACGGCTCTAGCACCTTAACGATGTCGCTGAAGTGTAGTGTACCGTCGTCGGTGTCCGTGTTGGGTTACATGGTCCGCTGCATGTATCGGGGGCAACCCCGTACCTGTTATAGGTGTGGTCAACAGGATCATCTGGCTGCAGCGTGCGATGTGGGAGCAACTGGTAGGGTGCATATTTTTCGTGCGGAGGATTTTCCGCCCCGTTACATCCGGACGGTTCTGAGGACGGTGTGGGTACTGTGCCTGAGGCGCCTGATTGCCTGTCTGCTGCTCCACCTGTTGCAGCGGGCTCTACAGCTTGTGTCGTAGAACTTGTGTCTGGTAACTGCCATAGTCCAAGGGGTTGTCGAGCAGGTGTGCGTGGGTGTCGGGCCATTGCCTGCGCTGCGTGTAGTGGAGGATGTCCCAGTGGAGGTCCATGTCCCGCCCCCGCCTGTGGCTGTGGTCCTGGTTCCTGGGGGTGCGGGTTCGACTGTTTTTGAGGGGGTGCATTGGCTGTGGGAGGTGCCTGCCACGCCTGTGTCTCGACGACTGTCGTTCTGATGTTTCTATCCCTTTGCAGAAACGTGCGCGCTGGTTTTCCGAGGCTGTTTCCCCTAGATGATGTCGACAGTGTGGGCGATGAGGCTTCTGTGGATTCTTCGGATAGTGTGGGTGTGGACTGTGTAGATGTGGTTATGGTGGCTGTGCCTGCGGAGGGGCCTGGTAGGAGTGGTAAGGTGCGGCCTGTTTTGAAACGATCGCGGTAGGCTCAGAGTGAGTCTCCCCTTCTTGGTGTGCCTTGGGAGGAGGTGGGGGAGTATGGTGCTCTGGAGTCCACCACCGTCTGTGGTGAGGCTGTGAGGGGCTCCGAGTTGCTTCCTGCGCCGAAACGCCCTGCACCTCCTGCAGTTGGATTCCCGTAGTGGGGGGAGGTGGGTTCCTGATGATCGGGACCTCGTCATGGTGCCGAAGAAGTATGTGCGCCGGGGATGGGGGGGCTTCGGCTCCTGTGTCTAGAGACGGGTTCAATGCCGCACCTGCGTCCCCTGCGGTGACTGGTTTACGACTTTTAGACTGAAAAAGTTTTTTCTCACATCCCTATGACTCATCTGTGCTTCAAGTCTCCAACTATGTCTTTATTGCTATTATACTGTTGCTTAATTATACTTTGCCTCTATATCTACTTGGCCAATCCTCCTTAGTATCTTATACGGTATCATGTCTGCCATATTCTTTCTTTCCTCCAGTAAAATGAGGTTCAATTCCCTTACTCTTTCCTTATAGCTCAGCTCAGGAACTATTTTTGTTGCATAATTGTTTATTTTATTTTCAAGTTTTGTATTTCCTTATGCAGGGATTCCATGCCTGGGCGGCGTACTGAACAATGGGTCTCACAAAGGAAGAATAAAGCAACCTGAAAGGATCTTTGACCAAGTTCCTGTATGATTACTGGACGTTTGCCAGAATGACATAAGCAGCCCTCGTTATTCTGCTGATGTGGGTCTCTGGTGTTAGATCTTGAGGTATGTATGTATGTATGTATGTATTGTTGGGGTTTATACTCTATCTTGCTCTTACTCTGGGTGAGCAACGGTATCTCAAGGTCACTCACTGTAGCCCTGCGGGTCTTCACTCTAATCCTCTCGGCGCCACTGCACGCCAGGAGAGTATCCCAGTCAATCCCAACCGGCCTTCTGATTGAGAAGGAGTGGGAACACACTTCTTGTTTACTTAACTGTTGTGTGGCCCGCCCCAACCATAGGGCTTTACTATTAACCACAAGGTCGCCAACTAGTGTTTTCGGTGTCCAGTAACACCTCAGTGGACTGGTTGAATTAGTGGTAGCCTTGGCAAGGTCACACTCAAAAGATCAGGAATCCGGCAGGTACTTACTCTTATCACTCTTTGCTTTCCAGTATAATATAGCCACAAGATCAATGGAGGGGATGATATAAACACAAAAGTAATTTTGTATTTTACTTAAAATGCATGAAAGATGTCACAAGGTCAATCAATAATTAAATCAGCTGATCCTAGCTGTGGCCGGTAGTTCCCACGAATATTATGCACTCACTAAGTGGCAACACCTCCCCCTCTCGTCAATGTCAAGAACAGCTGATTGCCTGGCTCCGCGCGAAAGTTTATTGCTTGTTTTCTAGATTCACGCGCGCTGTTTCTTTAAGTTCTCCAATGTTACTAGAAACTCGCACACTCGAGATTGGCAACAATAGCACGTATTACTTAGTTACACTATACTCGGGCTCAAACAGTCGTTTCTACAATCAATGCGACAATGACTCACTGTAATGGTTTTAACTGCCCTTCATTCAATGATATATTATGAAGTATTTAACACTGGAGTTTTCAGTACTTTCTCTCGTGGGCGATAACACAATAATTCACTGTACTTACAAATGATTAATCACTGCATGAACATAGACATATATAGTGTATATAAATCAGACATCAATACATGGTACATAAATAATTTCTGGGCACATAGCCTAACTTCCAAATACTGGCATAATATTATATATTATTTATCACTATACGTTCACTTTAAAGTATCATGAAAGATATACAACACACAGTAAATTCATCACTTGTTCCGGGTGCCTGTACACACCAATAATAAACATGAAAATTATAAGTACTCTTGATAGTACTATCCTGCACACTGGTGCTTTATTGTGACATGGGTGAGACTTGCTCACGACATATAAAATCCTCAGGCTAGATAATATAGCCGAATAATATAGCTAACTAAAGGGGAATGGGGAGGGAAACTAGAAACACCTACTTCAACCTATCCTCCGATGAGAGTTGAGTTGTAGCTCCTGGTCCTCGTGTCGGGAACGCCCCCACACACACGTTGTCGTGTCCTACCGGAACCACTCGTCGTCCCACCATTCAGCGCGTCGTCTCCGTGCCTTCTTCCCTGCAGGTCCGTGCTCCTTCTCGACTTCTTGAAGGCTTGGAGTCGGTCTCCTGGCCGTCGACTTCTCCCAGCTGCGGCTGCCGCCTACGTCTCGGCTGCAGTCGTCCGGATTCTCAGCTAGTCCTCTTCTTCCTCTGCTACCCAGTGGCTCTGGTCAGCCACTACGCCGTCACGACTGGGTGAACTGCTTCAGACGTCGCCTACGTCTGAAGCAGAATGTCAAGAACAGCTGATTGCCTGGCTCCGCGCGACAGTTTATTGCTTGTTTTCTAGATTCACGCGCGCTGTTTCTTTAAGTTCTCCAATGTTACTAGAAACTCGCACACTCGAGATTGGCAACAATAACACGTATTACTTAGTTACACTATACTCGGGCTCAAACAGTCGTTTCTACAATCAATGCGACAATGACTCACTGTAATGGTTTTAACTGCCCTTCATTCAATGATATATTATGAAGTATTTAACACTGGAGTTTTCAGTACTTTCTCTCGTGGGCGATAACACAATAATTCACTGTACTTACAAATGATTAATCACTGCATGAACATAGACATATATAGTATATATAATTCAGACATCAATACATGGTACATAAATAATTTCTGGGCACATAGCCTAACTTCCAAATACTGGCATAATATTATATATTATTTATCACTATACGTTCACTTTAAAGTATCATGAAAGATATACAACACACAGTAAATTCATCACTTGTTCCGGGTGCCTGTACACACCAATAATAAACATGAAAATTATAAGTACTCTTGATAGTACTATCCTGCACACTGGTGCTTTATTGTGACATGGGTGAGACTTGCTCACGACATATAAAATCCTCAGGCTAGATAATATAGCCGAATAATATAGCTAACTAAAGGGGAATGGGGAGGGAAACTAGAAACACCTACTTCAACCTATCCTCCGATGAGAGTTGAGTTGTAGCTCCTAGTCCTCGTGTCGGGAACGCCCCCACACACACGTTGTCGTGTCCTACCGGAACCACTCGTCGTCCCACCATTCAGCGCGTCGTCTCCGTGCCTTCTTCCCTGCAGGTCCGTGCTCCTTCTCGACTTCTTGAAGGGTTGGAGACGGTCTCCTGGCCGTCGACTTCTCCCAGCTGCGGCTGCCGCCTACGTCTCGGCTGCAGTCGTCCGGATTCCCAGCTAGTCCTCTTCTTCCTCTGCTACCCAGTGGCTCTGGTCAGCCACTACGCCGTCACGACTGGGTGAACTGCTTCAGACGTCGCCTACGTCACTGCACAGACTTCACTTCTTCTTGCACAGTACCTGACTGGAGCACTTGTTGCTCAATTACCGTCGATTCCCTCTATGGTTCAGCACATGAACTAGGGAAGACCTTACAGAGTACTGGCAGACTTCAGGTGATGCGTAAATCCACGGGAGCGGGAAACAACTGTCAAACTGACAGGACCAATCGTCGCACGTCCAACCTCCTTGACGTGTCGTGTCTGACTGCTGGCGCCAGCGCGGCGCGCTGCCCGGACCCCCTTCCTTCGTGACGTCACTTTCGCCACGGGAGGTTTTCATTGGCTCCCAGTGCCACATTGCTGTCGGTGACCAATCCGGTGTCACTGACGTCACACCGTTTTGGCGGGGAAACAGGAGAGCCAGCGCCATCTTGGCTTCCTAAAGGGCCTAAACCACAGGCCAAAATATCATTGTTTCACAAATTTCTCGGCTCTCCGAGAACACTCCACTCTCCCACATATATCAAATTGATGCCTGCTACGTAGAGAACGCTTGGGAAAAGTAGACATGACTCTTACTGCAGGCGTGGGAGAAATATAAGGGGGGAACACCGTCACAGTATGTATGTATGTATGTATGTATGTATGTATGTATGTATGTATGTATGTATGTATGTATGTATGTATGTATGTATGTATGTATGTATACATGTATTCACTTAGTTGTATTCACCTAGTTGTGTTTGCGAGGGTTGAGCTCTGCTCTTTCGGCCTGCCTCTCAACTGTCAATCGACTGTTTCTACTACTAATTTCTTCCCCCCCACCACACACACACACATACACACACCAGGAAGTAGCCCGTGACAGCTGACTAACTCCCAGGTACTTATTTACTGCTAGTTAACAGGAGCATAGGGTGAAAGAAACTCTGCCCATCGTTTCTCGCCGGCGCCCGGGATCGAACCCGGGACCACAGGATCACGTGTCACCGGCTCCCTGTATACACATGAATACATACATATATACGGATGTATGTATGTATGTATGTATGTATGTATGTATGTATGTATGTATGTACTCACCTAGTACTCACCTAGTTGTGCTTGCGGGGGTTGAGCTCTGGCTCTTTGGTCCCGCCTCTCAACCGTCAATCAACAGGTGTACAGGTTCCTGAGCCTATTGGGCTCTATCATATCTACACCTGAAACTGTGTATGGAGTCAGCCTCCACCACATCACTTCCTAATGCATTCCATTTGTCAACCACTCTGACACTAAAAAAGTTCTTTCTAATATCTTTGTGGCTCATTTGGGCACTCAGTTTCCACCTGTGTCCCCTAGTGCGTGTGCCCTTTGTGTTAAATAGCCTATCTTTATCAACCCTGTCGATTCCCTTGAGAATCTTATGTATATGTATGTATGTATGTATGTATGTTTTTACTTTGTGTCTTTTTATACATACGATCATATATCCTTGTGAATAGTTATTTTTTCTGAAAAAAGTGAATGCATGGAATATATATATATTGCCTATAGTTTTTAATAAAAAAAAGACCGTAATATTAATATAATGTTAGTGGGAGGGGAAAGAGAACGAGGGTGGAAGTTAATCAGAGGGGAAGGGGGGAAGTCAACGACAAGTTGAAAGGAATTCAATCTGGCTGTCGGACTAGCGTTATGAGTGGACGCTTCTCGTGTTCATAGTACACGTTGGGGACCACTTTATATCGCTCGTGTACTTTATAGAGCAAAGTAACATTATTCTTGACTCTTGTGTCTTTATTTTTGTTACTCCAGATGAGATATTCTAAAGAGCATTTACTGCAAACCTCTACGATACAGGTGGTTTAAGCTTTACTGAACGTTATGATACTATACAGGTGGCTTAAGCTTTACTGAACGTTATGAAACTATACAGGTGGTTTAAACTTTACTGAACGTTATGAAACTATACAGGTGGTTTAAGCTTTACTGAACGTTATGATACTATACAGGTGGCTTAAGCTTTACTGAACGTTATGAAACTATACAGGTGGTTTAAACTTTACTGAACGTTATGAAACTATACAAGTGGTTTAAACTTTACTGAACGTTATGAAGCTATACAGGTGGTTTAAGCTTTACTGAACGTTATGAAACTATACAAGTGGTTTAAACTTTACTGAACGTTATGAAGCTATACAGGTGGTTTAAGCTTTACTGAACGTTATGAAACTATACAGGTGGTTTAAGCTTTACTGAACGTTATGAAACTATACAGGTGGTTTAAGCTTTACTGAACGTTATGAAACTATACAGGTGGTTTAAGCTTTACTGAACGTTATGAAACTATTCAGGTGGTTTAAGCTTTACTGAACGTTATGAAGCTATACAGATGGTTTAAGCTTTACTGAACGTTATGAAGCTATACAGGTGGTTTAAGCTTTACTGAACGTTATGAAGCTATACAGGTGGTTTAAGCTTTACTGAACGTTATGAAGCTATACAGGTGGTTTAAGCTTTACTGAACGTTATGAAACTATAGAAATGGTTTAAACATTACTGAACGTTATGAAACTATACAAGTGGTTTAAACTTTACTGAACGTTATGAAGCTATACAAGTGGTTTAAGCTTTACTGAACGTTATGAAACTATACAGGTGGTTTAAACTTTACTGAACGTTATGAAACTATACAAGTGGTTTAAGCTTTACTGAACGTTATGAAACTATACAGGTGGTTTAAACTTTACTGAACGTTATGAAACTATACAGGTGGTTTAAACTTTACTGAACGTTAGGAAACTATAGAAATGGTTTAATCTTTACTGAACGTTATGAAACTATTCAGGTGGTTTAAAGTTTACTGAACGTTATGAAACTATACAGGTGGTTTAAACTTTACTGAACGTTATGAAACTATACAGGTGGTTTAAACTTTACTGAACGTTATGAAACTATACAGGTGGTTTAAACTTTACTGAACGTTATGAAACTATACAAGTGGTTTAAGCTTTACTGAACGTTTACAAACTCTTCATTTTGCTTAAGCTTTGCCAAATGCTCTGAAGCTGAAGAATCTAAATTAATCTTTGCCAAAGACTGAAATATAAGCCGCTGTGAGGTCAATGTGCGATATTTATATCACACATTAACTTAATTACCCAACCATCGCTGCAAGGTGCTTCGAGCAGAGTCATATTTAGAGTCCTGTCGTGTAGGCTTACATTGCTCAGCCGGAGGAGGGAAGTTTGCCCATCAAGACATCAAACAAGGTCATCAGGAACGCCATTGTTAGTGAAATGTAGCTGACATACTCATTACTGGATCACGCCAGGGGTGCCTTCATGTGTGTATTAATGCAATATATACACTGATGAAACTTCTTAATCTTCATAGTCGTATAGAGTGAGATTCCTGTATATACTGAGTTGCACATATTCTTAATTTTCTTAATGTCTAAACAATATAAAAGAGCTGGTTTGGCGTTGGGTTTAAGGCCACCCAGCAGGTATACCAGCATATATACTCTAGCCTTGCTCATAGTTCTGGACGTAAGTAAATTCTCTGTGGATGTGCAGCAAGAAGCGGGGTATGCCTTTCTTTGAATATATCCCTTAAGGAAAAGAACTATCAGAATAAAGCGTCAAGCCATTACGACTATGTAGCACTTGGAAGGGGTCAGGATAACGATTTGAGATGGGACGGGTGAAAGGAATGGTAGAGTATCACCCCGAAGCATGTTTCAGTGGCAAGATCCCAGAACCAAAACATCTGTTTGACCCTATCATCGAAAATATATACACAAAAATAATATTATTGTGCTGTTAACAGAATTAACTTCTGTATCTTGCCACCAAGAGAGCAGTCACTCCCCAAGGAGCAGTCACTAAGGTGTATTTTAATTAAACTCCTTCATAATATTAAAAACATTATTTGGCTAAATATCTAAAGTTTCCATCAATTAAATATTGAGATATAAACAGAGGTTCGAAAGCAAAGCTAGACATAGTGAATTCACTAGTTGTTCTTCGTGCCTGAGATGGTGATAAACATGACGGGAATTGATGATTCGCTTCTATGTGCACGTTTTATGAAGACGGACTGAGCTGGGAAGAGCCTTGTGTAACTGTACGCTGCTGGCCAGAGTCTAGTCCTTCAGGAAATAGAGTTATTTCATCCTTTTCAAATGCACGGTTGGGAAGCCTTTTTCCTGATGGCTTGTCCAGGGAGGTCTGGAGAGATTCAGAGCCAAAGTCTTCCAGGAGAAACCTTCCAAGAATCAGTCACCAAGAAGTCGTCACCAATCCTGCATCCTGCCTGATCAGGATCAGGCAGGAGGCACTGAACTACAGGCCAGTGTTCCTAATTTGCATTCCATGCAAGATGATAAAGAAGATTGTGCGAAAAAAGCTAGTGGAACATCTTGAGCGGAAGAACTTTGTAACACAACATCACCATGGGTTCAGAGATGGCAAATCATGCCTAACAGGTTTAATTGAGTTCTATGATCAGGCAACAAAAATCAGGCAAGAAAGAGAGGGATGGCAGACTGCATTTTTCTGGACTGCCAGAAAGCTTTTGACACAGTACCACATAAGAGACTAGTGCACAAACTGGAGATGCAGGCAGGAGTGAAAGAGAAGGTACTCCACTGGATGAGGGAGTACCTAAGCAACAGGACACAGCGAGTCACCGTGAGGGGTGAGGTCTCGGAGTGGCGGGGAGTCACCAGTGAAGTCCTACAGGGGACTGGACCTATCCTTAACCTTGGAACTATACTGTTTCTGATATACGTAAATGATCTCCCAGAAGGAATTGACTCGTTCCTATCGATGTTTGCTAATGATGCAAAAATTATGAGGAGGATCAAGACAGAGGAGGAAAGTATGAGGCTACAAGATGACCTAGACAAACTTAAGGAATGGTCCGACAAATGGCTACTAAAGTTCAACCCAAGTAAATGTAAGGTAATGAAACTAGGAGGAGGAACTAGGAGGCCAGACACTGGATACCGAATGGGAGATGAAGTTCTTCACGAAACGGACAGAGAGAAAGAACTAGGAGTTGATATCACGCCTGTGTCTCCTGAAGCCCACATCAAAAGAAAAGCATCAGCGGCTTATGCGAGGCTGGCTAACATCAGAACTGCTTTCAGAAACCTGTGTAAGGAATCCTTCAGAACCTTGTATAACATATATGTAAGGCCAATCCTGAAGTATGCGGCCCCAGCATGGAGCCCGTATCAAGTCAAGCACAAGACGAAGCTGGAAAAAGTTCTGAGGTATGCCACTAGGCCAGTCCCAGAACTAAGAAGCAGAAGTTACGAGGAAAAGCTGCGTGAAATGCACCTCACGTCGCTGGAAGACAGAAGAGGTAGGGGAGATATGATCACCACATACAAAATTCTCAGGGGAATTGACAGGGTAGACAAGGGTGGATTATTTAACAAGAATGGTACACGCACAAGGGGACACAGGTGGAAGCTGAGTACCCAAATGAGCCACAGAGACACTGGAAAGAAATTTTTCAGTGTCAGACAAGTTCGCAAATGGAATGCATTAGGAAGTGATGTGGCGGAGGCTGACTCCATACACAGTTTCATATGTAGATATTACAGAGCCCAGTAACCTCAGGAATCTGTACACCAGTTGAAGAATGGTTGAGAGGCGGGACCAAAGAGCCAGAGCTCAACCCCCGCAAGCACAAGTACATGAGTACAACTAGGTGAGTACCAAGGATGAGTCACCAAGAAGCAGTCACCAAGACAACAGTCACCAAGAAGCAGTCACCAAGACAACAGTCACCAAGACAACAGTCACCAAGACAACAGTCACCAAGACAGCAGTCACCAAGACAACAGTCACCAAGACAGCAGTCACCAAGACAACAGTCACCAAGACAGCAGTCACCAAGACAGCAGTCACCAAGATAACAGTCACCAAGACAACAGTCACCAAGACAGCAGTCACCAAGACAACAGTCACCAAGACAACAGTCACCAAGACAGCAGTCACCAAGACAACAGTCACCTAGACAGCAGTCACCAAGACAGCAGTCACCAAGACAACAGTCACCAAGACAACAGTCACCAAGACAACAGTCACCAAGACAGCAGTCACCAAGACAGCACTCACCAAGACAACAGTCACCTAGACAGCAGTCACCTAGACAGCAGTCACCAAGACAGCAGTCACCAAGACAGCAGTCACCAAGACAACAGTCACCAAGACAGCAGTCACCAAGACAGCAGTCACCAAGACAACAGTCACCAAGACAGCAGTCACCAAGACAGCAGTCACCAAGACAGCAGTCACCAAGACAACAGTCACCAAGACAACAGTCACCAAAGACAGCAGTCACCAAGACAACAGTCACCAAGACAGCAGTCACCAAGACAACAGTCACCAAGACAACAGTCACTAAGACAACAGTCACCAAGACAACAGTCACCAAGACAGCAGTCACCAAGACAGCAGTCACCTAGACAGCAGTCACCAAGACAGCAGTCACCAAGACAGCAGTCACCAAGACAACAGTCACCAAGACAGCAGTCACCAAGACAGCAGTCACCAAGACAACAGTCACCAAGACAGCAGTCACCAAGACAACAGTCACCAAAGACAGCAGTCACCAAGACAACAGTCACCAAGTCAGCAGTCACCAAGACAACAGTCACCAAGACAACAGTCACCAAGACAGCAGTCACCAAGACAGCAGTCACCAAGACAACAGTCACCAAGACAGCAGTCACCAAGACAACAGTCACCAAGACAACAGTCACCAAGACAGCAGTCACCAAGACAGCAGTCACCAAGACAACAGTCACCAAGACAACAGTCACCAAGACAGCAGTCACCAAGACAACAGTCACCAAGACAACAGTCACAAAGACAGCAGTCACCAAGACAGCAGTCACCAAGACAGCAGTCACCAAGACAGCAGTCACCAAGACAACAGTTACCAAGTCAGCAGTCACCAAGACAACAGTCACCAAGACAACAGTCACCAAGACAGCAGTCACTAAGACAACAGTCACCAAGACAACAGTCACCAAGACAAGTCACCAAGACAGCAGTCACCAAGACAGCAGTCACCAAGACAGCAGTCACCAAGACAACAGTCACCAAGACAGCAGTCACCAAGACAACAGTCACCAAGACAGCAGTCACCAAGACAACAGTCACCAAGACAACAGTCACCAAGACAGCAGTCACCATGACAACAGTCACCAAGACAGCAGTCACCAAGACAACAGTCACCAAGACAACAGTCACCAAGACAACAGTCACCAACACAACAGTCACCAAGACAACAGTCACCAAGAGAGCAGTCACCAAGACAACAGTCACCAAGACAGCAGTCACCAAGACAACAGTCACCAAGACAGCAGTCACCAAGACAACAGTCACCAAGACAACAGTCACCAAGACAGCAATCATCAAGACAGCAGTCACCAAGACAACAGTCACCAAAAGACCAGTCACCAAGACAACAGTCACCAAGACAACAGTCACCAAGACAGCAGTCACCAAGACAGCAGTCACCAAGACAACAGTCACCAAGACAACAGTCACCAAGACAGCAGTCACCAAGACAGCAGTCACCAAGACAGCAGTCACCAAGACAGCAGTCACCAAGACAGCAGTCACCATGACAACAGTCACCAAGACAGCAGTCAATAAGACAACAGTCACCAAGACAGCAGTCACCAAGACAGCAGTCACCAAGGAGCAATCCCCAAGAGAGCAGTTACCAAGTGTCAAGGACCTTGGCGTCATCTACGATCCTGGCGCCGAACTACAGCAGTTGACCCTCCCAGTGATCATAGTTTCCCATCTGTTAGTCTGCCAGGCTGAAAGAAGACGAATAACCGCGGACGAGAGAGGGACGTGAGTGAAGCCGGGACAGTGGAAGACTTAGGTCGACCAGAAGGTGGTAGCCAGTTGGGCTAGACGAGCACTGTGAACTTCACTCCTGGAAGGACTAGCCAAGTGAGCTGGTCGAGCGCTGTGGACTTTACTTCTGGATGGACTAGCCAAGTGGGCTGGTCGAGCGCTGTGGACTTCACTCCAGGAGGTGCTGACCAGTGGAAGCTAGGTGAGCGCTGCGGTTAAGCTCTGTACACATCAGTTCTGGAAGGTACTAGCCAGTGGGACTGGTCGAGCGTTGCTGACTTTGTTGCTTGAGCGTCACCAAGGAGCAGTCACTGAGAGAGCAGTCACTGAGAGAGCAGTCACTGAGAGAGCAGTCACCGAGAGAGCAGTCACCGAGAGAGCAGTCACCGAGAGAGCAGTCACCGAGAGAGCAGTCACCGAGAGAGCAGTCACCGAGAGAGCAGTCACCGAGAGAGCAGTCACCGAGAGAGCAGTCACCGAGAGAGCAGTCACCGAGAGAGCAGTCACCGAGAGAGCAGTCACCGAGAGAGCAGTCACCGAGAGAGCAGTCACCGAGAGAGCAGTCACCGAGAGAGCAGTCACCGAGAGAGCAGTCACCGAGAGAGCAGTCACCGAGAGAGCAGTCACCGAGAGAGCAGTCACCGAGAGAGCAGTCACCGAGAGAGCAGTCACTGAGAGAGCAGTCACCAAGATATCAGTCACCAAGGAGCAGTCACTAAGGAGGAAGGAGGATAATGATTTGGAGGAAGGAGATAATAAAAATATGTGTTTGTGGGAGAAAGGAATTGGCAAAATGATCAGGAAAAGAGAAGGGCCTCAAAATAACAATTCTCTTAGGGTATATTACACTAACAGTAGAAGTCTAAGAAATAAAATTAACGAATTAAATGCTCTTGTCTGCACAGAAAAAATAGATATTATTGCACTTACCGAAACGTGGATGAATGTAGAAAATAGAGAACTATTAGCTGAATATCAAATAAATGGATTTAAACTATTTCACACAGATAGATGTATTAGACGAGGAGGGGGAGTAGCCATATATGTTAGGGACAATTTGAAATGTAGTCTCAAAGAGGGAATCAAAACTGAGCCACACACAGAAACTATTTGGATAGAATTATACGAAAAAGCAAATAATATTATAATAGGAGTTATATATAGGCCACCAAATTTAGACAGAATGGAAGCAAAGCATCTATGGGATGAAATATCTAGGGCATCTAGATCTAACAGTATTTACGTCATGGGTGACTTTAATTTTAGTGGAATAAACTGGTTGAACAAAACAGGGAATAGTGAAGCAGAAGATTTTCTAGAATTAATTGACGATTGCTTTCTTACGCAACACATTAAGGAACCAACACGGGGAAATAATATTTTAGATTTAGTGTTAACTAACAGGGAAACACAAATTAATGACATCGAAATAGGAAGTGAGCTTGAGAACAGTGATCACAAAGAAATCAGATTTAGCATAGAATGGAATAGACCTGTAGGAGAAAATTCTGTTAAAGTGCCAGATTTTCGAAAAGCTGATTTTAATAGCCTAAGAAATTATTTGGGTCAAATTGATTGGAAAGTCTTGGGTATGGGGTTGGGGCCGGTCTTGGAGCGAGACATGAACCCAGCGATAGGTGACGTAAATGGGGATTTCGATGTGGATTCAATATATAACTTATTTAAGAATATTCTAAACAAAGCACAGGAACGTAGTATACCATACAAATTGAATAGATCGAATACTAATAACCCAAAGTGGATAACAAAGAATTTGAAGAACCTTATAGGTAAAAAGAGAGCTTGGTACAAAAGGATTAAAAATGGGGAGGTCACTTTAGAACAGGAATTCGTAAAACTGGTTAGAAATGTTAAAAAAGAGATAAGGAAAGCAAAAAGAAACTATGAAGTTCGCATAGCAGGGCAAGCAAAGACAAATCCTAAAAGGTTTTTTCAGTTATATCGTACTAAGACTAGGGAAAGGATAGGTCCATTAAAAACTGAGACAGGTCAAATAACAGATAGTGATGAAGAGATGAGTAGTATTTTTAATAAATATTTTGTATCAGTATTTACTAAAGAGGAACTTAACAATATGCCCTGAGCCGAACAAGTCTATGTGGGTGGGGACGAGGACAGGTTGACGAGTTTAACAGTTACCAGGGAGGATGTTCTTAAACAAATAGTAAAACTCAAACCAAACAAATCCCCAGGGCCGGATGAAGTGTTTGCCAGGGTGCTTAAAGAATGCAAAGAGGAGCTTTGTGACCCACTGTCAACCATATTTAATAAATCAATAGAGTCAGGCAGAGTGCCAGAGTTTTGGAAAGTTGCTAATGTGATACCAGTTTTTAAGAAAGGAGATAGAAGCTATTTGAACCCCCCCCCCCCGGATGGTAATCTTGGGCATAGCATTTTATCAAATCACCTCATTCTTTGGGGCACACGGAGGAAGTGTAGGGACCCATAGCCTCGGAGAAGAAAATAAAGAGTACTCAGAGAAGACCTTGTGGATCCTCACTAGACCCTTTGATATTTTCTTGGGCTATTTCTACGGGCTATTTGATATTTTCAACCCTAACATCATGTAAATATAATTATTCAGTATAATTCATAAAATAATTAATTACAATAACAATTAACATTAATTTATCATATAAGTTTGTCATATTGAATATAATATTTTGTTTGCATATTTACATATATCTTATACTTGTATTATTAAACAAACTTGTTGTGTTTATTAGTATAATTTGATTATTGGCTGATTCAATAATTTTAGAGCTAGGCTAGAGTGCGAATAGTGTTCAGATATTTGATCTAGAACAAGAACCAGTGTTCACAGTCATAGAACTGTCTTCATTATCATTTAACCCTTGTATAAAATACAAGCTAATGTGTAGAAATACCTGCAGGTAGATTATGGGTCTTCAATCAAGCACTCTAAGCTATCCATTACCCACTATCCATCCTAGGAAAGGAGGAGTAGGATTTACAACCCTAGCTAAGGACTGATCATTTTGCTTTACATGTCTAATGAGGAGTAATATTTAAGTATATACAGTAATTTTTCTTTTAGTGATGTTCAAGGCCAAAGCAATTCTCTTCATTATTAATATTCTGGTATTTCCCTAATCGTGACTCAAAGCCTGCATAACGTTGCAGTTGTTGAGAGGACGAGTCAACATCTGTGAGGACGGGCCAACATCTGTGAGGACGGGTCAACATCTGTGAGGACGGGTCAACATCTGTGAGGACGGGTCAACATCTGTGAGGACGGGTCAACATCTGTGAGGACGGGTCAACATCTGTGAGGACGGGTCAACATCTGTGAGGACGGGTCAACATCTGTGAGGACGGGTCAACACAGTGGTTGGTAGAGTGCTGTAGGAGAGCAGTGGAGGAGAGCGTTCAATCCCCGACCGTCCAAGTGGTTAGGCACAATCCTTCCCCGCGTCCCATCCCAAGTCCTTATCCTCACCCCTTCCCAGTGCTGTATCGGCTTAGCGGCTTCTCCTGATAGTTACATTTCATTCGTTAGAGTTCACAGAGAGAACTGTTCCTTGCGCTAGAGGTAAGTTATTGTAGACGAAGTGGTTATATCTTTCCCAATCAGCTAATTGCGTCTACTCCGTAGTTAGGAATTGTAATGAAACAAATCGCAATTGTGAACCCACTCGGTGTTTGCCTCGTTAACCAGTTGGGTAAACAATTTCGTTAACTTTTTTCTGGACGAGAATGACCTTCAGCGTTTTGTATGGCTTTCGTTTCCATGGCCAATTTAATTGTTGAATGTAATAGTCATCGCGTTTATTTCAGTCAGGAAAGGCAGGAGAAAATTTACCTGGGCTGTAATTGTATTAGCAGTGCTGGGGATACTTCAACAGCTGAGCTGCTCACTAAGCTTACGGCAATTATGAAATGCTGAAGGTAATACAGGTTTCCAAAATACTGATTTTATGTGAAAAGTTTCTTCCTGGTTCAATTATTTATGGGTTTACTCAATTAATTTACGAGTCATAATTGGGAAAGAAAGTTTACTAAGGATGTTTATAGGTGATATTTTTTCTTAGGCAGATAATGGGATAATATTGTTTCCCATTTGTGAGTCAGTTCTGTAGGTTATATATAACTAATTGTTGAGGAAATTAATTATCCTGCAGACTTGTTCAGTAATGTTCAGTAATGATATCGAGGGCACTTGGTGTCAATTGCCGGCTGGAAAGATATTGCAAATCAAATGCAATATCTTTCATAGACAACTGGGAACACTTCTATGGAAGAAATGAAATGTATGCTCGTGATGGGGTGCATCTATCGAGAGCTGGGGTTGTTGCTGTTGCGAACTCGCTAGAAGAAGTGGTTAGAGGTGTTTGTTTGGGTTTAAACTGTTAGTAGATAGAGGTATGGGAATTGATTTGGAGGAAGGAGGTAATAAAAGTATGTGTTTGTGGGAGAAAGGAATTGGCAAAACGATCAGGGAAAGAGAAGGTCCGCAAAATAACAATTCACTTAGGGTATATTACACTAACAGTAGAAGTCTAAGAAATAAAATTAACGAATTAAATGCTCTTGTCTGCACAGAAAAAATAGATATTATTGCACTTACCGAAACGTGGATGAATGTAGAAAATAGAGAACTATTAGCTGAATATCAAATATATGGATTTAAACTATTTCACACAGATAGATATATTAGACGAGGAGGTGGAGTAGCCATATATGTTAGGGACAATTTGAAATGTAGTCTCAAAGAGGGAATCAAAACAGAGCCACACTCAGAAACTATTTGGATTGAATTAAACGAAAAAGCTAATAATATTATAATAGGAGTAATATATAGGCCACCAAATTTAGACAGAATGGAAGCAAAGCATCTATGGGATGAAATATCTAGAGCATCTAGATCTAACAGTATTTATGTCATGGGTGACTTTAATTTTAGCGGAATAAACTGGTTGAACAAAACAGGGAATAGTGAAGCAGAAGATTTTCTAG